AACCCTTTGCACTCGTACATGCTGGAGATGACACTACAAATTTGTTATAGAACTCGTATGTCACGCTAGAGCAGACAACACTAATTTATACTAAAACACGTACATTACGTTGGAAATTATTTGAAAAAGTACGACACTTTAGAAGATTATAAAAATTAAATCTTACAATAATAATAATAATGATGATGATGATGATGATGATGATGATGATGATGATGACGACGACGACGACGACGACGACGACGACGACGATGATGATGATGATAATGACGACGATGATGATGATGATGATGATGATGATGATGATGATGATGATGATGATGATGATGATGATAATAAATAAAGTAAATATAAAACGTTGAATTCTGCCGCTGTAAATTACTTCAATTCATTTCCACAAAAATAAATAAGTTTACACCCAACAACAGTAAAAAATCAGTTTATTTGTACAAATACAAGACTAGGAGACCCTTCGAATTTTAAAAAACGTATTGCTCTAATTTTTATAAAAATTCGAAAATAAGTCAATCTAATTGCTCGGTAGTTTTAAACTTTTGCACTCAGTTTAATTAAAAATCTTTCGCAAAAACGCCTTCATAATTTAAGTTATTACAAAAGAAAAATTCTGAATTGGGTCAATTTGACCGATTGGTAGTTTTAGTCTTAAGTTATCGTTTGAAAGCATGATTATAAGAGACGAAAGTTTGGAGTTTTTAATGATAATAATGAAAGTGTTTTCTATAAAAGAATGGTAAGTTTGGAATAGTTGATTTACGTTTATCTGAAATTCAGATTGTTTTGATCAAGTAATTTTAAAACATAAAATACTTGTGAAATTACAAAAAAGAATTGGAATTAAAGAGAAGATTAGGAGATATAATTATTCGTTGATACATAGGATACAGAAGACAATAAAGAAAATTGTCTGGTGTATCAATTAAGAATAAGGAATAATGAATCTTGTAGTTTTTATGTTTTTATGAAATTCCACTAAAATACGTCGAATGTCCTTGACATTTGTATTTAATACGAAATGTTCAAAATTTTCATAAATTGATTACATTCAATGTAGACCTATACGAAGCTTCTTATCGATGTAATCATTTCCTATTTATCAATTTATATAAAAATATAAAGAAGAAGAAACAGTAATAATCACTATCAAAAACTAGATTACATTTAGCAACAATGTAATTTATTACTATTCTTTTCTGCTTCTTTTCCCTTCATTGTCTTATGTTTTTTCCCCTAATTCGTATTATATTGTATCTACTATATACATACTTGTAATATGTAATAGTTCTAATATTGCACTAATATCATCATTATTTACGTTATGCACAACTACTGACACAAAGTTGAATATATAATAATGAAATAATGCGAGAAGTAACTTTTATTTTATGACGTCAACATTGTACGAAATTAACATATTTCATTTTAAAACAACATTTTCACAATAAAATAAAAATATACAGTACAGAAAAGAAATTAATATCCTTAAGCAATGATTGTTTGTATATATCGATTAATTTGTTATATGATATTTTTTTTAATCTATAGAATGTAACAGTAAAATTATATAAAATAAAAATATAAATTCTGTATTACTAATATAAAATTGAAATGCATTCAGTCCTTAAGGAAGTGAGAGTGTAGCGATGAAATATTTACGTCTGACTGCCGGCTGACTTATACTACTGTATACCATCTTAAGCCGCGGCTGCTGTTTTTTTTACAAATGAACGAACCACGTGAAAGCATCAGAAGTCTGTTTTTCTTCAACCATCACAGCCAGAAAAGCTTAATATTGTAATTTTTTGTTACAGAAACAACGAAAACTGCAGTGAAAAATTCGAAAAATATAAGAAATTTAAGAAGCACTGTACTCACCTACAAGATATTTTTATGAGAGAAATATAAAAACTACAAAGAGAACCGAAATTTTATTTATTTTCTAATATCTTCTATTTTCTATAAAAAAAATATAAACTATTTTGTTTAAAGCAAATCGAGAATTTTGATTTTAATTACGACATTCCTTTTTGTCGACAAATATTTGACTAGATTTATCATTAACACTGATATGTCTTTTTATGAACATGAGAAATACTAAATATTCGTAAGAAAATATATTGCATTTCAATATCGAAGAAACAGTATCTCGGTTGTCGAATTATGTGCAGACGTTTTGGTAAAGTTAATTTTAATATAACAAATATGTATGATCTCAATGATATAATACAAATCAAATGAAACACCACCACTTGCTCTCCATTTAAATCAGTCACTCAAAATTAATTTGATGGGTAATGTTTCGAGTAAATGCGTCCCAGGTGAGATTAATCTTAAGCCTTGCAACCTCGAGAGAATTAATTAATAATCCGCGCAATTTCACGATATACATACTATATAATTTATTTCTCCAGATAGTATACTGCATATTATAATAAAAGGATTAACTGATGAAAGCACCGAAGAAAAGTAGTAGTGTAAAGTCATTAGTAGCAATTAAATATTGTTTCCTAAGGTGGTAAAGTTAATATTAAGTACTTATATAGAGAATAGATATATAATAGGAATGTACAGAGAATACAGAGAAACATTTTCATTTGGTAGGATATTATAAATGGAAACTGCATGCATACTGCCATCAATTATTTGCGTTGCATTTGTCACTCTAAAAATGTTTACGAATAACACAAAAACAGAAAATTCACGAGATTCAATGCAAATAAATAGCTTGGTAAATGTTTGCGACATATTTGTAAAATAAATAAAGAATACCATGAATGACTAAAAATTTCGTTGACGAGATCATTTCGTTTTAATATCGAAACGCTACGTATCTCTATGTTTAAAATGTTTATTTCCGTTATGAAAAGGTAATTATTCTAAAACTATTCTTATATAGTTATTATTACAAAAATTTAGAACGTAATGAAAAATTAAAATATTTGCTATAATGGTTGTCCGAGAACTGTAAAACATCCTATATAGTTTTTAAACTTTTACTTGGTAATTCCCTGCACTGAAAGTCAAGAGATAATTTAGTTTCGGCGTGAAACTCTTACTTGGTTGACTTATAAAGTTTGCAGAATAAAGAAAAGTTGAAATATAAGTGAATTATAATTTTTAGTCTGAAAACAAATAAACGTAATATTCATGTTTTCCAAGATACAGTAAGTACGTATAGAAACGAAATATCCTTAGTAGACTGTAAATCATTATGCAAATGTTTATTTTCATTCATTAGTTAAGAAAAAGAGCAAAGCAAGGAAAAAATAAAATCTGTACATACTATAAATGAATAAATATCTGCAAGCCATTCATTATTATGTGATAGCTTTATTTTTTACAGCACAATCTTTATTAATTAACACACTTTCATGGATACATTGATACAGTTTCAAATGCATGATATGTAGCAATTCTATCTATATCATCGTTTTCCGTTTAATATTCACGTTTCATAATTATATTCGTCGCTTCATCAATATACCGAACGTTTTCTAGTTTAATTAATTGCATGTCAAACGTTGAATGCCGAAGATAGAAGGCACCCGGTATTTGGAATTATCAATCGGTCCGAAGGCAACGACTAGTCAGAACCTGCCATAATCTGCTCTGATAAGAACCTTAGAATTAACGACCCATCATTGTCCACGCAATATTGTAGCTGGAAACAGCAGCTTAATAGATCGGATTATCAGCGGTAGTTAATCATCTCAAAGCCTCGTGGCCAGGTGGTCCGTGTAGGTTAACAGGTTCCTGCTGCCTCATTGATAGTCGAACCAAACGCACCGTGTTAATATTTGATCCTAATTTAATACGCTAAATGCGCCCTAATTAAACGGCAATAAAATCATCAGAAAATTTCAAACTCATCAATAAACAGTCAACGGTAAGATTTATAATGTGACAAAATCAGATTTTATATTTTATAAAAAAAAAAGTGAAGAATTGTAATAAATTCGAAATATATGTATATAAGATCTGATATGTAAAATTCAACACAACAAGCAATATTACTTGATACAAATAATAACGAATTTATTTTGCATAGAGAGTAGGTCAAGTATTTTAAGGAAATTTGTGTGAAGTATTTTAATGTTTCGCATAGGCATTGCAGTATTGTTAATATTTAAATATATATATATATACATCGAGTGATATGGCAAACAAAGTGTTAAATCAGAATTGAAAGCTTTAATATAGCTACAGTATTAAAAAATTGTTATTGATTTAATGCTTACATTTTTTATGTATAATTTATTAGTTTATCCTCCGGTATTGATATTATTTTTCATCAACTTATTCTTAATGGTTTATTCTTCGTTATTGGTACAATTTTCCATGAAATCCTCAAAAGTCTGACGTCATTATCCATTAGAGATACATACTCGCTTAAAAGTCTAACTTATTGTATTTCAGTAAATTTTACAACTTTAAAAACGCACTAGTTTTAGTGCACTATATGTGAATAAAAATATTCATTAATAACAAACCTAAATTCATAATATAGAATACAGAACATTTAATTTGTAGTCATAATATAGAATTTTGTAATGGAAACAATAATTATTATTAGTACTAATATTAATACTTGAGTAACAAGTGATACAGTAACAAGTAACTAAATCTGTTTATATAATACCAATACGCCAATAGATGATCTTTTTTGTAATAAGTAATACGATCGTTAAAATTTGAACATAATATCAATCTATTATCTTTTCATTCGGATTTTGAAGAATACAATGTATCCTGGAGGTATTTATAATCAATGCAATCAATTTAAATTGTTTGTCCTTTTGCATTTCTTTAGTATTTGTTCATATCGCACGAAAATCTATTTCTTCATCTTCCGTAAGTTTTTCATCCTTTAAATCCAATTATAAACGAAGTAAGAAGTAAAAACGTTAGATAGTTCGGCATGAAATTTAAACGGAAAAGGTATAGCTGCAAGCAGGGAAAGATGGCAGTTTCTGTCGACTCACCAGATATTGAGGAACTTTTCGCGCACCTTCCGCTTCATGCTGTCGCTCTTCCGACGATACTGCAATCTGCGGCAAGAATCCGCGTAGATAGGCTCTGGAAGCTGTTTGTAGAAACCTGAAAGTGACAACAAGCTGGTAATTGAACCGGAAACTTCGACAACATTTTGCAAATTAAATCTTGATGGGGAAAAAAGTTAATTTTACAGGCAATTTAATACGCAGTATTGATTAATAACCTGAGACCAAGTATTACGATTAAAGGGGGGAATACAACAATACTTCGAAAGAATTTAATTAGAGTATGATCATGAAATTATCAATTTTCATGTATTAGTTACATTTAATCTTCGCAAAATAAAATTATCTAACATCGTGAATTGTGAAATTTAATCTTGAACTTTGTCTGATAATACAATACAATGCTTGTCAAAACAATTAGAAACGATGGCAAATGAAAGTAAATTGAATTCTAGGTAGTTTAGAAAATATTTCTCATTTTAGATTTATTGCATTTTTAAAAGAAAGTATCATTAAAAGCATTACCAATATACTTAAGTTCAAAATAATATTTACAATATTTTTTTAGAATCATTTTTTCAGTAAATCTTTTTAGGATCATATTTTTTAATCAGTAAAATAATTAATCCAAGTATTAAATAAACTGAGAAAATCTATATATATTATAATATAATATAATATGCACATATTTTAACATGTATTAATCATAAAGAAAACATTTACTGTATTTAACGAGGAGTTTTTAACGTAAAACAAAAGTGTCATGTTTATTAATGCCAGAGAAAAATTTTGTAACCTTTCAGTTTATGAACATGTTTCCTCCACAATCGCCGTCAATTTTAACATATTCGTTTTTATGGCGTCAGGTAATATGTTCATTCGTGACGGGTTAAAAGCAATACTAAAGAAAAATCTCTTATTATTGGAGCTAAGAGAGAGAATAATTTTTCATCGTTTATACGTATAATTCACTTTTTAACAAAGTTTTTAGTCAAAATACGTAAAACGTGACACGTATTAAGAAATGTACATTTAAATAATAACATTTCTTATCAAAAGAAAGAAACAAAAATATAAGCTCCATATCCAATCTTATTTAAAAACTTCCACTCAAATTAAAGAAATTTCATTCCACACAATATAACTTTTTACATGCGGCAATTCTTTCGCCATACACATCCATAATTTTCTAATAAAATATTGATCAAATATTTGGCTGTATTAAATAGAAATTATAAACGAATCAAAGAATATGACCTCTTTATTCGAATATTTCATGAATAATTACGTCACCTCAAATTTGATATTGAATATAGAATTTTACAATTTTACTTTACCAAGTAAAATGGAGACCGTAAGTCACCTTTCGAGTATTTTTCCGACAAAGAACGGAAGGGAAAGTACAAAGGAAAAAGCTGAAAAATGATATGGCTACAGCACAAGTATCGAGGAATTGAAGACGTGAGAAAGAAAGAAAATTTCGGGGTCAAGCTTGCTCGCGAACTCGTAGAGAAACCTTGTATCTATATATGCGTTTGGCTAGGAACCGAAGATAGGAATAGCTGGGACGGTTCCTTGCACGGACAAATATTTATTCAGCGGTAGGCGTATTCAGCCTGGTCGATGTTTATTCGCGCGTATATCCATCGTCCCTGTCAGATCATCAGCGGCGGATTGATTTTTCAATCGCTTGGAAATTTCGCAAATTTTTCGAAAAGCCCAACATTTTTAAAGGTAAATCTAACTTTCTGCCCACAAAAGAACACAGGGGGAATATGGAAATCAGATTACGAGGAAAGACCCGAATTTATTGAAAAACCATTCGAGATATGAATCCTACCTCGATTTTTCGAACTGGAATGAAATATCGAATCAGCTTATAAGCTTTTGTGTGTTTTGAAACAATGAAATTTTTCATAGGAAGCACGACAGCGAGTCAACGTTATTAAATTTGAATTTCTACATGTTCTTGTAATTTAATTATTATTAAGCATCGAGTTTTATTAATCTCTTTACGGGTTTATTTAATTCGGTACCAATTCACCAAAATATTATTATTCGCATTTAATTGAAAATCAACATTTTTACTTTATTCCTACAAATTTAATTTATAGACACGAGAAATTTTCATTTTGAATTATTTTTAATTTGATTAATAATTTTTGATGAATTATATAGAAATTTATATTTAGATTTCATTAAAATGGTATGCGAAATAAAAATATTGGTTGTTCTAATTTCGCATGTCAATAGCAGCCGTCTCGCGGTAGTGGAAGTTTCGTATTCCCGGTAGAAAATTAAGAGAAAGCTTGCTTTGTATTGTACGACTTGAAAAGCCGCCGGCGAAGCTCAGAACATTTAGAATCCAGTCGTTTGTATTTTTCTTCTATTCGCCACGCAGGTCTTTGGCCAGCTGAGCCGCTTCGAGCGCGGCGTGTTTGTGCACCGAAAAAGCTATCAGGTGATTGCACGGTTAAATTGCGAAAACAAGTTGCACTCTTTATCTCTTCGCGCTTTCTAAACTTCAGCTTTTGTAGAGTTTTCTGTGGGGTCGGATTCAACGTCGGAATTACCGAAAAAGCTAAACCAAGTGGCTTGCATCATTTTCGTTTTATTGGAACAATGAATAACTAAAGAGTAAAAGAAAATGAGGGAACTATTGAGGTTTTCTTTCAAAAGTTTTTGCATATTTGCAAGATTTAATTGGCATCGTAATTATGAATTAATAGAAAACATTGGACATGATAAAATACCCTTTTATTTTATTTTATAAGAACTGGTTTGTCTGTACGTTTTTGGAAATACAAATAATCCAGAGATACCCCAAGATTTTGGAAATATGCATATTTTTTATACCATTTCTATACAGTAATGTTTAAAAATTTTTCCGGAAATTTTTGACATTAAAAGTTCCTTATCTTCATGATGAATTCTCCATTTTTTACTGTGATAGTTCTAATCTACTGATTAAGATGTCACTTCTAATTGAATTCAATTAATAAAAAAAGTTCACATATTGACTTTTATATAAATAATTATCAATAGTAATGAAAGAAAATTTATTACATTACATTTGTTCAATTACTTTATATTTTCTGATCTATGGTTAATGCAATCTTTTATTCACAGTTATAAATCCCATATTTTCTGATACGTATAGTATATTTCAAATAAAAATATAATGACAAGTATCGAAAATTGTTGACTTTAAAGGAAAATCTCATCTTTAATATTACTTTAACAAGTACACTCGCCTAAAGAAGTTATAAATGGGGACTCTGGCATTTATTTCAGATACATTTCATTTAATTCAGTATTGAAATTTATACATTTATTTCAATATTGAATCTCCAGAACTCTACACAATAATAGATTCAATGAAACTCAATACTGTTTCATTTTATTGTAGGTCGAATGGAATCGTTGCTGAAAAAAATTAATTTTTGTTGAACTTTGATTTTTATGCACAAAGAATATGAATTTGAACCAATATTCTTCGTACTGTTACTAATCAACACTGCAGAGAACTAATTTTCTCAAAAATAATTAAATCTTTGTTTTATTATTAATTTAGTATTAAATTCGTTAACAGACGGAATTATTTACACATTATAGTTTTTTGTACCGTGAACCAAACAATTATTAAAAACATGGGGAATCTTAATAGTAACTTGTAATTTCTATAAAATATAGAATACAACAAATTTTCAAATTTTAAAATCGTCGTTTTTGAAATAATACATTTGGAAACGTTACGTTTAATTCTGACGTCTTCGCGAATGTATAACATCACCAAACTAAAATTACTAGAATATTCAATAAGGGCGTACAAACGTAATGGACTTGCATTTAGAATTCACGCTTCTCCACAGCGTTTCAATTGCTTCCGTTTACAAACACCCACGTTTCTGTGACCTTTCTTTATCCTCGAGGTTAGTGGAACTACTCTCAAAGTTTGTGCATCGATTTCCGTTACACCTTGTAAATGCTTTATTATTAGACTACGAATTTTCAAACGAATTCATAGTTCTGCAAATTAAAATCATACAAACAGAAATGAACTAAATGTCTACTTCCCTCGTTAAAAAATGCCTACATTAACCATAATACGAATATTTACATTAACCACAACTTCTGTATCTCCAATTAAATCTTCATTTTTAATCATATATTATACGATTTTATTTTGCATAATTTTTCTGTTCCTTCATTTCCTTCATATTTTTGAGTAATCACTAGGTGTAATATGTACAGTAAACATGGTGTTATCAACACCAACATCATTATTGTTACAGCAATCATCATCCTCATCATCATCATCATCATCATCATCGTCATCGTCATCGTCATCGTCGTCATCATCATTAATAAAATTTGTTTATTTTTATTACATACATATTAAACCCCGTCAAACGATAGTTTTTACAGTGTCCCATACAGAAATGAGAAAATTGCGAAACTTACTCAGCCAATTGAGCTGGTCGTTGTGTTCCAATTTGTTCTTGAAACTATCGACCTGCCGCTTGAGTTCACGAAGAGCGAAGGATGGTGACGCGTATAGAGCTTCTTGCTGCTCCCGAAGTTGCCGTTCCAAGGCCGCCACACGTCTTTCGAGAGCCCACAGCACTTCCGCCTCGATCACCCCCGACGAGGCCGGATGCGCTCCGACGATCTTGAAGAGAGGAAACACGTTTTACTGTTACGCTCGAATATCCACGTGAGAACGAAGACGTAGTAATTACTACTAATTGGTACACTGCTGGATAATGCGCTACAACGATTAAAGGGAAGCACTTAACGAATACGCTGCCGGTTGACAATTTCGAATCATTCCGTACGTTAGCGGAGATACGGATACGGTCGTTTAGTCAACACACTTGGAGGACTGATTTTGCCATCCGAATTTGATCCATTGAATAAAGCAAACTAATAAGTAGTAATAGTAGAAATGGAATTTTGAAAATGTAGAAGCAATTAATGCGTTTCTGATTTGTGTCACATGTTTGTGACGATCAACATTTTGTATCTTACGTGGAGAAAATCAAATTATTTTTAGGCGTGTTTGTATGTAAAATTGTAACGCATCGTGTGAGGCGCAGGACATGATTTTTTAAATTGAGTAAATAGGAAATATGTTGCAAAGATTGATCTATAAATCGTGCTAAATATAAAGTCTTGTGAAATGTAATGAGTAATAGCTTCTAGCCTTTATGTTTTGAACATATTTCGGAATTTCGTATTTGTTACAATACTATTATGAACGAAGTATAATTAGATTTTGAAAAATATAATTTAAAATACACCGTTTTAAATTTAGCACAAATGTTACTTGAATAGTTTTTACATATTTAGAATAATTATAGTAGCAATGAGTAAAAGGCATTTATTATTGTCACGATTTACTATTTTAGCCAACAGCTTGGAAAACAAAGAACAAACAAAATACCAAACAAAGCATTCGTGATAGAATATGATTTATTAATTTTTTTATTTCTCAATGAACAATATTAAAAGAAATACGCTACTTTTTATACCTAAGAAATTTTGCCTTATAAGTGGTTAAAAAAGAGTATAATGTACCTTAATTTTAATAAACCTCGTCGGTGAAGAATTTCGAAAATTATTAATCGATAGTTATAGCTAATTATTAGTTAAAGTGATTAATTAGCGGGTAGTGTCATGGTTTCATTGGAATATTCTGTACTTGATTTTGTGAACCACGTACACGGGATACCATTTCAAGGAAATCTTAGATTACATTATTTAATAAGGAAAGTTAGGAAATGATTTGCATTGAAGAGAACAGGTGTGCATGATATCTGTATCGTTACCTGAAGAACATACGGTGAGTCGTGCGTGTTCGCCGGCAAATTAGTTGAAATGTTTAAGAGCTTGTCCCCCTTGCGAAGCTTCACGATGTCCAGAGGACCAGCCTTTGCCGCATTTCTAAAAAATTCTGTAACAGAAAATATAATTCATATGAATAAACCCTGTTGTAAAAAGTTAACATATTGTGAACGTTATCTACCAGATGGTTACTAACACTTCCGTTAGTGCTACTTCTGGGAAAAATTGCTAGTTACAGTTTAAGGTTCAAATTTTTTAAATTGTACATAATGTAATACATATTTTTGTATACACAGAGTATTTGTACCAATTGGGACAGGCTATAACTCTGTTCCTGTTGAAGTTAGAAAAAATTCATGAAGAATATCTTTGCACTATTTAACAAGCTTTCTTGTATTATAATACTAGCTTATTCATAATTGCATTGATGCAGCTGGAAAATTACTTACTGATACATTTGTTTAAACGTCACGTGTTATTACTGTAATACATTCATACATGTTGCATTCATATGCTTCCCATAAAACTGTGTCAAACTTAAAATCGGATTAATAAAACGTAAACTTTATGTTAGCATTTCTGTAGGATAAAAAGGTACTAGAAATTCAATGTGCACGTGGAATTAAATTGATTCAGACAATGCATTCCAGTTAATTGAGTTATTTTGACAATTAATTTTTATATGGTGCCATATTCATGTTTCAATTCACGAACAATTTATATATAACGTTTTAAAAGTGAAATATTGTTTTCCAATATTTCCCAATTTTACATCTAGTTTTTAAAATTCTGTTTTTACATCAATCGTAAATTATACAGATCACTTTTTCATTCATTCAGATTCATAAATGGACGTTAAAAATGTTTCCCTACAGCCCGTTATTTGTAAGTATTTTAATAATGTAGTTTCTACTAAAAATCGTCGAATAATAAAATACATTTACAAGGCTATGAAACAAGTACCACGGACTTTTTAATTTTTCCCCGTTCCAATTTCAGTGATTCATTGAATGTTTTAATCTTCGACAAAATGGAAATCCGATATCACCTTATATTGATATTGCACGAACAGTGAAAGGACTTACACTTAAATATTTACCGGTTTAATGCCACGATAATATAATGATAAAGAAATTCGCGTGCGTATTCACGGTTACAACTACATAAACTTATTAAAAAATGAAACGTTTTCAAATAAGAAAATATAATTATTGAATTAAGTATAACTAACAAACTGAGTAAACTATAGCTGTATTCACTATTAAAAACAAGAAGCTTGTAAAATCTTTAAATATCTTCAAGCATCATTAAGGCATATTTATATTTCTTAGCTCTAACTATACTGACAATTGAAAATTGTTTGAATCATAAAAATATTTTGTTGTAAGTATAACATTTACTGTATATTGAATATGACAAGACACAAGATAAGATAATAAAAGATCTCAATCTTGATTAATGATAAAAAGAGTTGTACAGAAAAAGAATTGAATGGTATAAGAAAATTTAACAATCAGTGCACGTTATTTTTGTTTCTTTCATGAAAAAATGTAAGGATGTATTTTCCTTAATAAAACAGAAATCGATACCTTGAAACGGTTTATAAGAAAAAATACAGCAGTAACCAAATCAGTGACTTGTGGGACATCTGATATTATTAATTATCAAATTTAATAATAGTGAAGGAAATTTAATAATTTTTTATTGACACTTGACGGGTCAGCAACATATTAATTATTTTTGTTTCAAGTAGCCATAACCATGTTTTTTAGCATTGTAAAACTTGGTAAATTTAATGTTTTATTAAAATTCTCTAAAAATAATGGCAAAAAATACTGTCTCTTACAAGAGTTACACTAATTTTTCTAAGAAAAGGAAAATTTCTAAAATACCTAATACCAAGAAAAATATGGCTGGTCAAGTGTTAATAATAAACAGAGATTTTAAGAGAGAACAGAAGTTATTTTTAACTGGAAAGATAATTTTTCATTTTTTAAAAATTATATTATTGAAGTAATATTCTATCCTTTACATCTATCAATACTTTATGAAACATCATATCCCAGTATACATGTTCACAAATCAGTATGAAACTAATTTGATCACGTTGATATTTCCCCTGGATTGTTATCAAAGCTTCAATGACTAAATTACCAATACTTCAGTAGTATAGCATACCAATGGTCATACATTCGACATAAAAGAAACAACGCCCGTTTTTCTCGCTGAAACCAGATAAAGACTGCCATGAAAACATGATATCATTATAAAGCAAGTGTAAGAGAATTACATACAGTAAATCATTACCATTAAATATCATAAAATAATAATTTTTAAAAAATTAAATAATCATTATAGAACGCATTTCATTTCATTATTACAGGTGTAGCTTTAATCTAAAGAATATGTACAATGTATAAAATAATATAATTCCGAAATAATTTTTATTATTACTGTAAGTTTTGCATAGGCAATAGAATTTTTCTTATTTCGCCGTATTACACCCAAACAATAAGGAAATTTTTTTTTAATTTGAAAAGTCAAGAACCAATGAAGCGTTTTAACCCCTTGTCTTATAATGACGTGTTAGTCTCGTGATGAAAATTTTAAATAGAATTCCACAAATCTAGAGATCATTTATTTATTTTGAATATGAACGAAATATTATTTCTCTATTATCAATCTTTAACATTTGTAGTGAACGTAGACACAGAGTAAGTATAAAATTCCTTTCTTTTTCTACTGAATTATTAACGATAAAGATGTTTTATCAAGTACAGTTGAGAAACAAATCATAGGGTTAACGATAAAATCATAAAAAAATTAAGCCATTCAAATGTCATCATTATTATTTCTTTTGTTCAGCTATGTGAAATGAGTATATATTTTTAAACCTTACACTAGCTGTTCTTTCCAGTATTCTGTTTTCTCTTCTACGGACAGACTCTACACGATTTTCATTCGCGTTAAATGAATCCACGCGGAACGGATTTCCGCGTAAATCGAGGATCAGGTACATGATTCATTTACTGCGCAATGGATGTGTACGAAATGAGGCCCGCGCTATAACAAACGATGTCGCGCTGAAAATCAACAGGGAAGAGTTCAGCCGATGTGCCATCCGAATACATTATTTAAATGTCGGCAGCTCTGTATCCTTTCGGCTATATCGAGCGTAACGCGCGGGAACAGCGTTTTATAAGTGCATGTTTTATTCATAATCGAAACAGACTGTCCAGTTACGTGTGACTTGGGTTAACGCGCGTATTATGCTGGCGAAATTACTGTCACGCGGGGACACAATGCCGGAATGACAGCCATAACGCTCGTTTCCCTCCGTTTTCCGTGGATGGCTAAATCATTTAGCGCGACGAATTGCTCGAGCTCTCGCACAATACGTCACGTGGGATTGGAAACACGGAGAAGGGAACGGTACACACCGCGTTTAATCTTCCTTGTTTGTGTTTAGAGGGTCGACGGCTACGAGAAAATTGAATTGTTGATTTTGTATAATATTACTTACTTTTTTATAAAGAGAGAAATAAATGGTATCGGGATCAATTATTATTAATTAGTAGGTACTAAGGCTAATAACATAGGCTAATAATTATTAGTAGGTACTGGAAAAATTTCGTGCGGTTTTATTGTAAACAATGAATTCTGGTCCGATTTCAACTATCATTTCATTAATTTAATGAATAAAATTGGTATTAACTGCGAGTTGTGTTTATGTCGTTGATATCAAACCAAATAAAATTATTTTACGAAAACGTTCTCTGTGTTTAAATTTTGATCCCGCACGAAGTTTTTTCGGTATCTAATAACTATTTAGCGGTACGGTTCTTACGTTATGCTATTACCTAGTTATCCGTTTTATTAAATATTTTTCTTCGATATCAATTTTCTTACTGTAATTCTTGCGAAGTAATTTGGAAGCTCCAGCTATTAGTAGCAACCGTGACATTAACGTTTTAACCTTTACAATACGATTTAATCATGAAACATTGTACACGAAAGAAGAATTTTATTTTCATTAAAGCGACCATGTTTCATTTTATGATTTATACATTTTGTTAATTAAAAGAATATTAGTTAAAAGTAATCTATCAAGGCACTACTAACTATTATGCCAATTTATTCTTAATTAGGAACTGTACAAATTTTGTACATGTCACTGTACATTTTGGCACGAAAATCTAATTACGAGCTACGCTGCAAGTGATACAAACAAATGTGTCAAACAAAAGTTACAGTGTATGAAATACTACATATCATGACGGGAGGTATTTGACTGTGACGTAACCTTGAAACGTCCTGTGAAGGTCACGGTACAATTCTTAAATAGAACCCCACATTTTCTATTCCATATTTTTTAAACGCACATTCAAACACTTCTGCTAGCGGTTCGATCGGAAATTGTTTTACCTAAAATAACATAGCACAAAGAGAGCTTTAATATGATTCTATCAAATTTTTTATCAACAGTTTTTTTTCCAGGTATATATATATATATAAACGAACCGGCAACTTTGGATGCTGATTTCTTGAAAACAACTATATATGTATCTGTGTAATCGTGCAATATTGTGTAATCTTGCGAGACTTGATGAACCAACTGCGAAAGTCAAGAACAATGCATAAATCTCGGGACGGTGCAAATGAAATTACGGTTTAACAATCACGCCGTACAGACTATCCCACTTTCAGGACCGCGCAGGACCGTGAACGCGGTAAGTTAGCAAAGCGTTGATGAATGTCACGGGAAGGGGAATGGAAAATATTCTTGGCGTTGTATTATAGAGGATTAACACGTTTCTCAATGAGTAATGATAGCGCGAACGCTGCCGCTCGGCAACAATTAATCATCGGTTCGTAGATGGGCGGTGTAATGTAGATTTATACCTGTAATAAACCGATACATGTTGCTAAGTCCGAGCTGCAAATAATAAACGAGGAATTAGTGAACACTAGAAGTAAGTAAATAATAGTTTCCGTTGTCATAAATACGATAATCCACTGGCGATATTTACAGACTAACCCCAATACCGCGGAGATTTAAAAAAATTGTTAGATAAAGTTCGCTTTGCTGTCGGGTGGTTATTATCGAAA